CCCTCATTTTTTATAGAAGTGAAAAAGGTGTCTTTTTTTGCTTACAAAGGTCATATAAGGTCAGAAAGAGTTATTTAAAATCGGATCTTGCAAGGATGCGAAAGACAAAGTGAGTCTCCTATGTAGCCACTCTCAGATGACCCCTGTCAGCAATTCATGTTTATTTCTTCAACCCTTTTGTTTTATAATTTGTTTCATAACTATATATTGCTATTTGGCAACATTGTAAATTTCCGCCCTTCACCTCCATATTCCTGGCTATTTCCCAGCATCCCTCAGCCCAGGAATCCTCAGGTAGAAGTAGCATGCCTCGTACAGTCTTGTAGGTGCAGGCTTGATTCCTGGCTCTTTGTTAGTTCTGCCGCTTTGGGCCAGTTAAAACCCTGTTCCTTAACTTCTCATCTGTCAAAACAGAACAAACAGTATATTAAAAAGAATGTAAAAAGAAACAGTGACAAAAAAAAAAAAAAAAGCAGTGACTGGCCTGCAGATACGGTTAATTTCCCTCCCTGTTTCTCTGTCAGGTCACCCATCACTTAGGACCTTTCTCATGATGGTGGAAAGCGATCTAGTACTTAAGTCTCCCGAAGGTACTGAGCCTCCTGGGTGTTTGCATTTTCACAGCGATCACCTGCTCTATCTGATCCTAGAATTTCTGGGACGAGGACTGACTCCTGATGTGGCTCAGATTCTCCCCGTCAGGGCTGAAGAGTGCCAGCTTGCACAGCGAGGGGGAAGGGTTCCTGTAGTGTGTTTAAAAAGCTCTGACACTGTTTCCAAAACAGCGAGGAAGACACACGACTGCCTTTAGCTGAGTGCTTGGAGTTAGGGTTTCTATTTCAGAAACGTCTGTGGCTGATAAGAATTGCAATAAAAATGCTGATCCTTCATGTCCAGACTGTCACGATTTTGCCAAGTCGCAGGTTTAATAACACAGCTAAGCTGTGTACTTAGTGTCTCTAATACTGCTCGGGAATCCAAGAGACAGGTCCGCAGACATCAGATTTCACACCAGACATCCGGTTTCACTTTGCTAAGGAGCACATTTTGTCAGTAGATTATAGGCATATCAGCTGCACCGCTATGGTGTGTGGCACTTCTATCATAAGCTCTGGTCTGTAGGATTTAGTATGGTGTGTTATTCAAATGACAGCACGCTGTAAATTAGCGTCTGGTCAGATAAGCGCGTTTCCCACAGGTGTCTTCCGGTGTCCTTGTTTTTACACGTTAACAAGGCAAATTAGTTTCCATCCTTGGCGATTTTCTTGTAGAAGGAACATATTCCTAAAGAAAAATCTCATTTAAGAACCCTTGCATTCCAAAAATTCATTTTCAAGCCCACTTTTGTTTGTAATGTTGAATAGAGTAATTAGAGGAATAAAACCACACATAGTATTTAGATTTCCAGGTCGGGACCCGAAAGCCATGTTTAACTTGCGTGGCCGTCATGTGTTAGTGGTACCGCAGACTCTAACCAACACTTATTCTAGCGTTTTGGAGAATAACGTGTTCCGAGTGCCAACCTAAAATGGCTCTGCCACATTCCTGTCGGTGCCGAGGCGTCAGGGCTGAGGAAGTACTCTGCAGGCCGTCACTCTGGGTTCTGGGCCAGCTCTGTCACTGCTCAGCTGTGTGACCTTGGACACACATTCCTCATCTGGAAAATGGGGTCATCACTTGCGATTACTGTGAGATTCAGCGAGTGTAAAATAGCGTGAAACCCGGCGCAAATAGGTTCTCAGCAAGAACAGCGGCCCTTGCCACAAGAGCAGAGACAGCCCGCTGGCCAGGACAGGTGGCTCCGACCAAGGGGGACGTCCTGTGGAATCTGGGCTTTGGTAGTGGGGACTGGGAAAGGCACGTGGAGAATAATGACAAAGGGGAGGACAGGTGGACTCAGGGGAAGGTACCAGCCTTTCCATCAGCTCGTGGAGGTAGGTTGATGAATTAGTTGACTCAGAAGGAACCACCTTTATCGCTGGCCTTTCCATGGACCTTGTCAGGTGCTGCAGTGGACACTCTGACGTCCTGATTGTCTGCTGACTCCAATGATTAAGGGTTTTTCTTTGTCACCCTGATGCTGCCTGAATAACCATGTATTTCTATTTTTTTATGGGTGGGACTTAGCAATAGATATCTGTGCTTCCTTAAGATATGGATTTTTCCTATACTCAAAGTATATCCACTGGATATCTTCTTGGCCTTTCATTGGCCTACAGTTTGTTTGTTTGTTTATACTGTATGCTGTGCGCATCGAAGTAGTGCCGAGGATGGAAGGAGGTGAAAGTCACTGTCCTTGATTACGGAGCTTGCAATCTGGTGGAACAGCACACATCTGGACCGGCAGTTCACATATCAGCGCTCTTCGCCTTAAGGGAGACAGGCGCAGAGGGAGGCCCGCGGGAGCGCTCGACCCCGGACGCAGACCCCGGGTGAGGCTTTGGCAGCGGTCGCGTGTGAGGGGAGCGGGGACAGCCGGGTGGGGGCGGCAGGAAGCACTCGCGGGCAGAGCGAACGCAGGAGCGGCTGCATCGCATTATGAGAGTGTCCTGGGTTCGGGGAACCGTTTGTGGGTCGGCTGAATTAGAGCGCGAAGGGCAAAGGCAGGAGCGGAAGGAGGCACTGACTGTCCCGTGTGCCGTAGCGAGCCCACGACGTGCCGCGAAAGGCCGCCGAGGGCCGTGCGCTGGGTGGACGGGGTGGGCCGTGGCGGGACGAGGCAGAGGGGACAGTGGTTGGTGCAGAGAGCTAGAGGGCGAGAGCTTGGACGGGGCGGACGTGGCGGGG